TACGCTTTTCGCCGACGTTTTTACGCCTACGTGGGATGGGCCATTTCTCCAAACATACAAAACATTCTATTCCGAACATCTGAATTGATAAATAAAACTCACATGCTTTTTTAATTGCTATAAAAGGTTCATAAAACTAAATTCTAAAAACAAATAAATAGTTGGGAAGTGAGTGGCAATTTCACTAATGGTATGGCCATACCTCTGACTGTATGCTACCCGCATGCATGCACATTAAACCGAGGCCGTTCAAAGCATAATAAAATACAGTAAAAATTTAGTTACTTTCTAGTAAGTTTCTGGAAAACGAACGAGGTTTATGATATAGAAAAGGACAGAGATATATTTGTGACTAATTCTAACTCATGTATCACATTTGCGAAGGTATTTTGCTTTGGTCTTAAGAGATAGAACTAAGGCCCGGTTTCACCAACGTTCAGTCATTTGCAGAGCATCTTATCTAGTTCATATTTTGATCATCAGTGTTGATCGCTTTCAGTAATTAATTTCAAGTAAGAAGCATTAAATTAGTGAGTTTGGTTTTCGAGCTAACGCAGAAATGCTCATAATTTAAGTGGAAAATTCGGGTAGTTCTCTACATGACGCTGGGGATCTAATCTAAATCGAGTTTTTACCGAGGTCCGAGTGATGGCACTTGAGCTGCAAGACCCATTTCACCTAACCCCGGTAAGCCATAGAGATAATATAAATAGAGTAGACAAGGTATAGGCGGCTGCGTAAGAGGGAAGTGTCCTGACATAAACAGAATGGGTTGGAAAGAGAAGAAAGATTTAACACCAGTATCTGTCCTTCAATAAGCACCAGCGCAAGAGAGACACCTACTGGTGCTAAAATCGCGTTCTCTTTCTATCAAACGGACGCCTCTATACAGACCTTCTCCACTCTATTTATATTATCTCTATGCGGTAAGCTCGATCCCAGTCTCCCTTCCTAGAGTCCTGTCCTTTTCGAAAAGTCCAGTAATTCTTCTGCTGAGAGGTTGCAAATCCAATCTTAGTCTACAAAGGCATGTCCCCAGATTGATTTCTAATTGTAGCAAAATTTGGACAGTAACATAAAATATGAGTCGAAGATTCTTCTTCCGATGTGCATCAACTTAGCGAAACAACTTCAAAATCCAAAAATCTTATATAGCTCAAAATTTGTCGTTTTTTAGTCGCTAATTATATTCGTGTCTACCTACCGTGCAGTTTTCTGAAATTTTCCTCTCTCCATGATTCCGTACCGTGCAGCTCTGAAATCACCCCTACTACACACGACTGTAGTTGTGGAAAAAAAAATTTTGTCGTTTTTATATTTTTTTTTATAAACTTAGCTAAACACCCACTCTATGTGGGTTTCTGCGGTTTAAACATTATTTTCCGACTTTAATTACATATGGAGATCAGTTCGTTAGACTTATTACGACCATTTTAGATGTTGCGGATTTTGTCGTGCCATTTTAAATTGTTCAGGGTGTTTAACTGTCAGGAAATAGTCAGGGAATTTCAGAAAATTTCATTTAAAGTTAGGGAAATTTCTGTATATTTCTATAAAAATTAACATTTTTGTGAATTTAAAAATTTATTATTAATCTCATATGGTGATTTTTTCGTTAGACTTGTTTTGATTATTTGTGATGTTTTGGATTTTGTCGTGGCAATTTAAATTTTATTCATTTACTGCTGTTACGAAATCTTGTAAGACAGAAGGTTTTTTCGGCTTAAAAAGTATTTTTTTGCTTTAATTTCACAGGGAGATTTTGTCTTTGGACACATGGCTAGAATTTTTTAAAAATGATTCGAGTTCTATGTACTATAGCTTTTTTTCTTCAGAAAATTATTCCCTACAACTTAAATTTTGAGAATTTCAAACATGCCAGCCGTTTGACAAATATGCCAATTGGTTTAAGAAAATCTTAATTTTTCTTTTAAACAATTCTTTTTTTATTTGTTTTAAGGTGAATTTGCTAAGTTTATATAAAGTTAGCGAAACATCTTATATAAAAAAATATGAGAGCGTCAACATTTTTTTTCCACAACTAATTAGCGACTAAAAAACGGTAAATTTTGAGCTATATAAGACTTTGGGATTTTGAAGTTGTTTCGCTAAGTTGATGCACATCTTCTTCCGCGTCACACAATCTGCACCTAGATGAGGTGTTTCTACTTATTTTGGGCTGATGATAGTTTAGAAGGCCATGTCCCGTGAGTAACCTAACCAGTGTTCTAATTCTGATCTTGTTGAGTTTCAAAAGTGACTCGACAAACCGCTGCTTAGTTTTAATCCCAACAGAACCTTAGCCTGTCTACCGCTTCGCTTTTTCACCGCGCCTGGCATAATACCTATCGTTGGCTCTGGGTCTATCATAGTCATCTCAAACCCTCTACGGGCTAAGGTATTCGCATCCTAATTTCTTCTAATTCCCAAGTGTCCTGGTACCCAAATCAATGAGAGCTTATTTTTCGAACCTAGCTCGTCTAAAAACCTTTCGACAGCTTTAAGCCTGCTTATAGTGTGAGCGGCTTTCTTGATTGTTAAAATGTAGAGACGTTGTTCTGCCAGCATGAAATTCAACGCCAAAGTTGGCGTGGTTCTCATTGCGCCAGTAAACCTTCTAAACACCATTGCCTGCAGTTGTTCAAGCTTCATTTCACCGTTTTCAAATGGTTTCTAATTCACCAAGCAACTGATGCATGCAGAAACCTTGGCAATAGGACCATACGGTAGAGTCATTGAACCATAATTGGTTGTAGACCCCAAGATGATTGGGGGGATTGCTCTCCTGCAAAGCCAAAAAGTAGTGCGAAGCCTACCATATTGATACTCTAAGTGTTCACCAGATCAGCTTCTTGTCTAGAATCACTCCTAGATATATAACTGAGTCGGAAAAAGTTTATTACCATAAAATATTAATTTCCTCACTGTGGGAATCTTGTATTTCTTGGTAAAGAAAACAATATCTATTTTCTCTGGATTAGTACAAAGACCAGTTCGTTCATACCATCTTTTAACGATCCCTAATGCCCTTTCTGTTAGCTCTAAGAGTATTTCTAACGAGAGACATCTTACTATAATTTCTGTATTACCAACTTTTGCCATGTAAATTAATAGTTTAATAAGAATCGGAGACCAGAAGCTGCACATTTAAAAATGTTTTTAACAGAAGTTTTTCATTTTTTTAATCTTATTATTATTTATTTAGTTTTTATATTATCAGCCGATGCTATAGATCGGACAGTGGAGCGCCTCGGTGCCCGCTATAGCCCTGGTGTTTTCACTCTGATCGAGATAAGTCAAACGGGAGGTTTGTACATTTATGATGACTCTAAATATGAGAGATTCTTTTTCAATCGCCCCAGCCCAAAAAGTCAATGTTCTGGGATTGGCTTCATACTTTGGTAAATTGTTGTCCTATATGATAGTAATAAATCCCTAAAATATAAATTAATTAAAAAAATATTTGTAGAAAGTAGAGGGGGTTGAAGTTTTGACGTTAAGGGTAACATTGTCATTTTCAAATCCGTTTAACTATGACAAAAGTTAATGGATTTTAATTTATCTATAATGAATTTCATTGCATTTTTCACGTACTTTTCAAAAATGTATACGAAATTTAAAAAAAAAAAATTTTAACCCCTTTTTTGTCAAAATCAACCCTTATTTTTCGATTTTCACCCCTTCGGGTATTTTTTTTTTTTTTTTTTTTATTTTCATTGGAAAGCTGAGGTTTTTTCCGATGAGCTATGTAAATATGAAAATGGGACAACAATAATTTTGTGAGAAACAGAATATTAAAGTAGGCGGTGCCGATAAGGGTGCCGTTAAGGGTAACATTGTCATTTTCAAATCTGTATAACTATGACAAAAGTTAATGGATTTTAATTTATCTATAATGAATTTTATTGCATTTTTCACGTACTTTTCAAAAATGTATACAAAATTTAAAAAAAAAAATTTTGACCCCTTTTTTTTCAAAATCAACCCTTATTTTTCGATTTTCACCCCTTCGGGAATTTTTTTTTGTTTTTTTTTTATTTTCATTGGAAAGCTGAGGTTTTTTCCCATGAGCTATGTAAATATGAAAATGGGACAACAATAATTTTGTGAGAAACATAATATTAAATTAGGCGGTGCCTATCTAAATCCTCAAAGATGATCTCCAGGTACATCCCTTATCGGCACCGCCTACTTTAATATTCTGTTACTCACAAAATTATTGTTGTCCCATTTTCATATTTACATAGCTCATCGGAAAAAACCTCAGCTTTCCAATGAAAATAAAAAAAAAAAAAAAAAAAAAAAAATACCCGAAGGGGTGAAAATCGAAAAATAAGGGTTGATTTTGACAAAAAAGGGGTTAAAAATTTTTTTTTTTAAATTTCATATACATTTTTGAAAAGTACGTGAAAAATGCAATAAAATTCATTATAGATAAATTAAAATCCATTAACTTTTGTCATAGTTAAACGGATTTGAAAATGACAATGTTACCCTTAACGTCAAAACTTCAACCCCCTCTACTTTCTACAAATATTTTTTTAATTAATTTATATTTTAGGGGTTTATTACTATCATATAGGACAACAATTTACCAAAGTATGAAGCCAATCCCAGAACATTGACTTTTTGGGCTGGGGCGATTGAAAAAGAATCTCTCATATACATTCACAACTCGATTGTCAATAAACTAGCTGTGCTCGGGAGAGATTTTCTTTAGTATTCCTCTCCCCTGGCTAAAAGTCCAGGCAAATGTGAGTGCTTCTAATAAAAATCGGTCTATAGCCGCAAAAATTTGGAGTTGTGAGAAACCCTTGTAAGATTTTAATAGTGTTGTATGGAAATTGTAAGTACCCCTGGAGGTATACAATGAAATCAATATTATTATTAGTTTTTATATTATCGAAATAAATTCTTCTTGTTGTTCCTTTTTTTAAATTAAGAAAAACTGTACTAATTATTAGCAATTGTAATTTGTAATTGATTTATTTACTTTCCAGAAATGCATTGCCTAGGCACAGCAACGGGCAGCCAAGCTACTGCTTGTGGTTTTGCCAGCCGTGGAGGTGCATTTAGCGTAATCCGAGCTCTTGGAGTCCTTGTGTGTGAAGGAAGAATCCAGGGTCCTCCTCGTGGATACAGAGAGGGTCCACATTGTGCTGCCCCTATGCGAACAACTCCCAATAATCATGTCTGTGAAAACGATAACTATTTGGTAAATATCAGTCAAAATAAATATTTATCTTTTTAAAAATTCCAACAAGGACCTGATTTCTATTTTCTTCCATAAAACCTGTAAAATTAAAATAATCTTATTCAGTTAAAGATATATAATTATTTATCTATATTAAAATTAATTATTTATTATTAAATCATTTTGCGGTTATAAAATACGAATTTACATTGATTTCAGTGTGGACGATATGAAGTATTAATTAAAGAAATCGAAGATAGAATAACAATCGGCGTATTTTTATGTGTGGAGGTTTTACTATGTAGCGATTGTCCTTGTGGATTATTAAAAACTACCAGCAAAAATCCACTACACTCAGTTTCTTCTAAATCACCATGGCAATGTTCATCGGAAATTCTTCTCGAGTATTGGTGTATTGGAATTACCACCAGCAAGTAAGCAGAAAAATTTAAATTTATATTAGAATTTTTATCTAATTTTAAACTCTAAGGAATTAGTAGTCAATCAGTTCTTAAATGTTTTGTTTAATCAAAATAACAAATTTAACGCTGTGGCGAATTAAACAATGATTTTTTTTTCGTGTTTTTAGTTTCGTTTTTCAAATTTTATATTTTATCTTTTAAATTATTTTTTTAAATGTGCGATTAATTAATTTAAGCAATTTGTTAGCGTAGAATGCATGTAATTCAAAATTTAGAAAAGATATAAGACATAAGTATTCGGAGAAATAAGTTTTTGACATTTCGATATTCTGTCAAAGTCGAAATTACTCGAGAGGGAGCCAGTCCCTCAACAAAATTAGTTAATCAAAATCTTAATTTAAACTTTAAAGCACAAATAGAACATTACAAAATCAACAGAATTTATAATATTCGGAGAAAGAAGAGATTTTTACGTCTACTTCGTAATAGTTCATTTACATTCTTAAAAGATATTTAATATTTGAAAGTGAAAGTTGTGTTTTAACCTCTTGACAGTCCATGGCCCATATATGTCCAGAAAAAAGTCGTGCCATACCATTGTGACTTAGGCCATATATGTCCACCTTAGAAAAAAAATACTAAACATAATTCGATTTGAGTGTCAATGAATATACTAAAGTTTTTGAGGTCGCTGAATCCGAATTTGAGATCAGATTTAAAAAATTCAAAATGGCGGATCCAATATGTCGGAAATTTTTAAAAATGATTCGATTCGTTGAAATTTCGGTACTCGGGGGTTTTTGGGGACTATGAATTCAAATTTTGAAATTGTTAAATCTCACCTCAAATTTGGATTCATAGACTTCAAAAACACCCGAGTAACGAATTTTAAACAAATCGAGACTATTTTTAAATTTTCCGCTATATTAGATCGGCATATTGGGTACACCATTTTGAATTTTTTAAATCTGATCTCAAAGGATTCAGTAACTCTAAAAACCCACAAACGATTGTTCTACTAGACTGCGAAAGTGTTAATGTTTGTTAACTGACAAAAAATCTTTCTTTTCTTGAAGAACTACTTTTGATAAAAATGAAAAATTTTTACTTCTTTTTTTTTTTAATTTAAGAGGTATCTTTGTGTATTTTTACAGTACTCAAGAGACGATGAACTCACAAGGTTTATATCAAGCAGTTCGTTCTCGGTTGCACTTTAGTCAAGTGGCTGCGTGGTGGTCACGAAGTAATGGTTCCAATCCAGTTTATGTTGCTACCAGGGTTGTACCATACAACGAAGATCATCTTAGGAAATTTCGAGAAAACCCAGTAGAACATACTTTTCCGTTAGCAAGTAGTGGTGATGGAAATTCTATCAAAGTACGCATTTAATCGGGTGATACAAAAAATGCATTGTAAAATTTTGTTTCATGGAAAAGGACAAGGTGCTCTAACAATCTGTTTCAATAGAATTATTTTTTTATTGTAATTGTAACGAGTTAAACGGTGATTTTATAGGTTTAAGATTGCCTTGCCTTCATCCAACAAATAATTTTTTGAGATATTTTTATGTAACTATCTAAATATGGCTCTTATAGGTCATATTTAAAGCAATGTTGTTCATCAATGTGTAGTAGACATGTTAAATAGGGGCGCATGATTATTCCCCAAATTTCAATTTCATAATTTTCAAGACATCGAAATTCTTATTATCGAAATATCATTTCACATAATTTTTATATTGCGAAATACTATTTAACATAATTTTTATTTTTTCTAATAATTATTTATTCTAATTTTTAAATAGTCAAATTACCTTTTAACATAATTTTTATTTTGACGAATGGCCATTGGTTAGAAGTTTTAAATGTTCAAATTTCAATTATTATCTAGAATTTTCATCTAATCACATATCCATGTAGTATAATTTTTATTGCTTCGAAATATTATTTTACATAAATTTCAATTTTCTAAACTTTAGTTGTTAAGGTCAGTGAAGTTCAGTTTATGTGGATTTTAGGAAAATAAGAATTATAAGAAATAAAGTTTAGAAAATTGAAATTTATGTAAAATAATATTTCGAAGCAATAAAAATTATACTAAATGGATATGTGATTAGACGAAAATTCTAGATAGTAATTGAAATTTAAACATTTAAAACTTCTAACCAATGGTCATTCGTCAAAATAAAAATTATGTTAAAAGGTAATTTGATTATTTAAAAATTAGAATAAATGATTATTCGAAAAAATAAAAATTATGTTAAACGTTATTTCGCAATATAAAAATTATGTGAAATGACATTTCGATAATAAGAATTTCGATGTCTTGAAAATTATGAAATTGAAATTTGGGGAATAATCATGCACCCCTTAAAATTAAAAAAAAAAACAATGTAAAAAATATCCTTTAATAAAATTATAGGTCACTGTTTGGGCATTACCACGCATGGAAGATGTTCCTGTTCTAATTTGCCCGCTTCATCCAATAAAAGAGACCGAGGATGACGTAGCTCGAGCACTGACACCAACAAAAATTATTCCATTACCCTCCATATCTCACACATCTGATGTTTTGGTTTTGCCCGGTAATATAATAATTTGTAACAAGAGCAGATCATTTTATGTTGTTCTTATTTGATGATAGTAGCGAAAATTTTCATAAAATAAATAAACCTACAGGAGCGACTGCTAAAGAAAAATAATTTTATTAATATTGGTTTGCTTTCAATGTTTCTTGTAATTTAAGAAATTTTTTTTTTAATATTGTCTGAATTTAAAGTGCTCGAGCACAAGATCTGCATGAAGAATTTATTTATGAAGAAGCCTCCTGTTATGCACGTAAGTCATTTGATTATTAGTTTTGATTATAAATAATGAATAATAGTTTTTAATTTTCTTTAACAATGAAAAAAAAAAGATTTTTCTTCAACAGTGCTCCTAGAATTTCTGGTACAATCGTTTCTGTAATCAGATATCACAAAATTTTCATTTCCATTTTAAAAAGTCATATTAGAGAATTTTATCGCTTTCCTTCATCGCTATTTTCATTTTAAAGTATTTTTACTCTATTTCAAAGTAAGTTAATTAATTTTAATTGAGTCTCGACATTCGCAGATGTTATATGGAATCGAATTCAGTGTCCGCAAAATAACTTTTCAACACTATGTTGTCTCTTCTAGTTCACTGCGAATTTATTTGAGAAATTTTATGATTAAAATCGATTAACTTGCTTCGATATAGTGTAAAAATGGAATTGTTTTTTATTATTAAATTTCTTGACAGCTCTTTTGGACGACAGGCTACAAACTCCATGTGACAAATCTGGAAAGCATGACTGTCGCTGTGAGGAAGAAGATGGTGGTCCACTTTCACCTTCTGTTCGGACAAATAGTGAGAGGAAGAGACGTAGGTCACTTCCCTGTGGTCCTTCGGAGACAACAGTCTCGTGTATTGCAGTTCATCCGCCCTCTTTGACATCAGTTCAGGAAACTACAACGAGAGAATTTAATGATCGTCTTTCAAAATTTAATTATGGAAACACAAAGCTAAAATCAGAAATACAAAATGTATCAGCTGAAGAAAACCCTCATAAAAGCAATAGCTCCAGTTTTGATAATTTAGAACATATTTTTGAATCTTTCAGCATTGATGAACAAAACTGGAACGTTGAGAAAAGATATAAATGTACAATTGATAACCCTGAACAATTAAAGGTAAATTGTTTTTAATTAACTTTTTTAAACATAATATTATGCCATCAGAGTTTAACCTAAAAATTCAGTCTCTAAAATCACACTTATGGTGCCATATGCTAAAAAATAACATGAGACCCAAATTGCTTATTTTCTGACGGAATCTTACCCTATTTTTAAATAAATATATTTATTTGAGTCGATTAAATGGTACTTATTTCAAATGCAGAAATTATTTGTCGATTATTTGAATCAAATTTTTTTGCACTGTAAACAAACAAAATTTAGCACAAATATTGTTTTCTTAAAATAAGATTTTTTTCTTATTTCCTAAACATTTGCACTTTTAGGTGAGAACTTTCTGCCATCAACTTGGAGAATTTCATAAAAATGAAACAGCCCAAGAAGCTGATAAGGTTTTCTTTGGAAAAGACGAATCACCTATTACACAAGTGCCTTCGGAACCTTTGTTTTTAGGTAAAACCTTAATTTATATTTCCTCAATTTTCTTATGCCTATTTTTTTAATTTTTATTTTTATTCTGAAAATTTTTTATATTTTAATTCCAAAAATTCCCTTCAAAAGTATAAAATATATACGATTTTTAAGTTTACGAAATATAATAATCAAGTTTTTTAATATCGAACAATTATTTCTGAATTGGATAACGTTAAAAATGTTCTTATTCAAAAGTAGAATTTTTTTTACATTTCGCTTAAGTGGCCTTAAGTAAATACTTTTCAGTTTAATTTAAAAAGTGGAACATTAATCAATTAATTTGAAAACAATAATTTCAGATGCATTTGATGAGCAATGCAGTTCTTTTAACACCAACAATAAGAATAGCTTGGAAAATATTCATGGACAAACGAAAACAATTAACAACAATTCAACAAGAAAGATGTCACCATTGCCTAAAGAAACCAATCTTGTGATTAATCCATTTTATAGTTCGTTCTATGAAACAAATCCTTGTTCTTCAACACATGTCAATTCCTATCATGTTCCCTATTCCGTAAATCCTTCAACATGCACAGTTTATCAAACTCGCAGTAAAAATAAACTCACGAGTAGCTATTCCTGTGTTGCTAATTCAAATGATCCTAATAATTCAAGCGGAAAAGAATTATCTCAAATAATGGCTAATTTATCAATTCCCGAAGATAAAAGCAAATCGAAGGAGGAAGGCATTCTCGATTGGATCAGCAAAGTTCCAGGTCGAGTACTTGGCGTTGTACCCAATAACAATAATAATAATAATTTTGAAGATAAATCAAAAATTGCTAATACATGTATCGCTGATGGAAAAGTTAAGAATCTAGAACTTAGTAAGCGCGAGTTTGATGAAGTTTTGGCTGTTTTGAGAGCGCGTACTCCCTGTGGAAAGAGAAGAACACAAAATTTGAAGAAAAAAGAAAGAGTCGAGAAACAAAATTTAAAATTAAATTCAGATGTTGCACTTATACATGAATCCACAAATCGTTATGATGAATTCAAATCGAAACATGAGAACGTTTCCCATAAAACTCGGGATATTTTCGATGATAAATGTAAAACGGATTTAGTTGATAGTGTCGTAAATAAAGCGGACGTTTTGCTAGGGGCAATTTTAAGAACGAGTAAAGATCGAAAGAGTCTTGCAGACATCTCCAATGGAGCAAGACCAAAAAATGTATGGAGCGATACTGTTGAAAAGAGCATAAAAGCAAAAAATCTCGAAGATGATAAATCATTACCATCAGCTTTGAATAAGAGACTGATTCAAATTAGACAACTATTCAAAAGAGATGAGAGACCGGATTTTTTAACACTGGAAGATCATTCCAAAGAGAGTTTGAATGCAACACAAGAACGTAAAACTCATATAAAGAAATCAACTTCCGATAAAGGCATAATACAGGAGTTTGTTGATTCTTTAGGGACCAGTTTAGTTAGCACGCACAATTCACAATTCCATAGTACAAATCAAGAGGAGGAAAAGGAGGAGGATCATGCGCAAAATTTCAGCAATTTAAAGAGAATTAATGAATTAAAGATGAGCACAAAATCTAATGAAAAAATATTAAAACTTGATAATGGGGAAGAAAATGAAATCATCTGTAGTCAAGATCGACAAAGAAAACTTGGTCTTCTTACAATAGAACAAACTGATTACACTATGTCTTCCAAATCACGAATTAATAATCAGAACAATAACGATGATGAGGATGAAATTTTTGAAAAGATGGTTCCTTCCGCTTTAGAACAAGAGAAATTCAGAAGATCTTTAGAAAATGCAGCGTCAATGGTTTTTCACAGTAGAACGGGTTTACCACTTACATCAAGCCCAGCACCATTAAGAAAAGGAAGTTGCTGTTTTGATTTCGATAGCAGCTTAAATTCTGTTTCGTCAAAGCGAAGGTATGTGATTTACGAAAGTATTTATATCCTTTTCTAAATTATTCAATTTATTAGGATTAAAAAAATATCCAATGCCATATTGGATCAGACATTTTGAATTTTGAAAATCAGACTTCAAATTCGGAATCAGCGATCCCAAAAATCCGCAAGTAACAAGTTTCGTAGATATTTTTCTAGTCTTTTAATAGTAGGACTGAAAGATTTAATTCCAGACCTTTTTGGGGCCATTTTGAATGCGCTGTTTTGAATTTTGATAAAATAAAAATTGTTAAATTTTTTGTAGATTCTGTAAGAGGACTAAAAAATACATAAGAAACATCTATTGCTAATTTTTTTTAGTTCATGAATTTTGAAAATGGCGAGAGCATATAATTCTCTGCAAATGTAAATTTAGAAACATTCAGATGTACTGTCCTTTAAGTATTTAAGGTTTTTTTTTAAATTCAAGATGATGTACCAAAAATGGCGGCCAAATTCAAAATTTTTTACAAAATCATAATCTAATGTAAGAAATTTTCAAAAATCCTTAAATTTGCTTGAAACTTGTTACTCGAGGCTTTTTAGGGTCGCTGATTACGAATCAGGTGTTAGTTTTTCAAAATTTTAAATGTCGAATAACTTTTTAAAAACCTACTGCAATTCGCTTCAAACTTATTACTAGGGAGTTTTCGGGGTCACTGATTACGTATCCGATGTCAGTATTTCAAAATGGCGGATCCAATATGGCAGATGAATTTTTTAAAAATTGATCGGATTCGCTTTAAACTCGTTACTAGGGGGTTTTTGGGATCGCTGACTGCGAATCTGGTGTTAGTTTTTTAAAATTCAAAATGTCGGATCAAATATGACACATGACTTTTTGAAAATCTAATGCAATTTGCTTCAAAACTTGTTGCTAGGTATAAAATTTGTTAGTTACTTCTTCCAGAGTTAAAATATAAATTTTATTATTTCAGTGCACTTTTCGAATTAAATACACCACCAAGTCCTGGTGCAGTTTCTTTAGAAGAAACTGACAGGGAAACAGAAAATACGTGCGACGGCGAGAAGACTGAAAGGCGACGTTCCACTTCTCATAATAGACCACAAAGTCATGCTCTATTAGGTAATTTTGAAGAATCAGCGTTGAATGGTAGGTTGGAACCAGTATCGACTGTCCATGGATTTACTGCCGAATTAGGAGCAAGTGGCTCATTTTGCCCTAAACACAGAAAACTTCCTGTTACTGTATTCTTTTATACGCTTGGAGATAATGATAAAGTCTCAACACCTTATCTTGTAAGTATTGAAAAAAGCCAGGATATAAACGTAATTGAAATTTATAATCAACATGTTTTTTTTTATAATTTCTAGGCTCATATTAATTTAGGCAAAAAAGGTTATCAAGTTCCAAGAAGCGGAACTGTTCAAGTAACTTTGTTGAATCCTTTGGGTACTGTTGTTAAAATGTTTGTAGTACTCTACGATCTTTCGGATATGCCTCCACGATCTCATACTTTTTTACGTCAAAGAACTTTGCGTGATAAGACACTACGCTACCTCATTCATCTTAGGTAAGCATATTTACAGATTTAAAAATAACTAAAACATCATTTCTCGGAGTAATTAGAGATAAATTTTGTCTAGATGACAAAAATCTGACTTTAATCCGGATTGTTTCGGACTAATTACGGATTAGTCCGAAAGCAGCCCGGAATATTAACTTAATTTTTTCGTTTTATCAAAGAATTAACATTATTTTTAGTGTTATTAAACCTCAAATTTGTGATCTCAAGAAGATCAAAATAGACCTCCTCAGACACTATTTAATAAAAACCAATCAATTTTTTTAATTTATAAAGAACTATGGGATAAAGGTTGATCTTAGTAGTTTCGAACTTGCTGAATCCAAAAATAACAATTAGAAAATCTCAAACCTTGGAGAAATGGTTGAAAAACTACCCCTAAATTATTAATGACGTTAATTAATGAAATTTTGTATTTCACATGAATTTCTTACAAATGAAAAAAATTATGCTCTAATTTCGAATCGTTTTTAAAGTAATAGTAGCGAAAAGAAGGCCAAGCGTGACTGATACCTATCAACAAGGAAAAACCACCCCCTTACCACTACTTAACCCATTAACGACGGAATGTACAAAATTTTTACACGAACTTTAAGGTCATTTTTCATCATTTAAACGTAACGATAAAAATTTCGCAATAGACATTTCTTATGTCTCAAGAATCGCTCTATTGAATGACGTGCTCAAAAAAACCGAAAAATTTTAAATAAACAATTTATATGCACTTTTAAAAAAACACGATTTTTTTAGAATTTTTTTTCAGTTTTTGTTATTTTTTCAAAGCTTATCCCATCAGAATACCTCTAAATGTTAAAAATATCATGTCACAAATTTTGGGCTATTGAAAAAATTAAATTTTAAAATGGCTGCCACCAAATGTCGTCCAAAGTTAATATTTTTAAACAATTTCATAACCAAATAAACGATTTTTTCAAAAGTTGTTATATTTTGCTTGAAACTTGTTACTCGGAGGTTTTCGATTTTCAAAAATTTTAAATGTCGTAACCAATATGGCGGAATTCAAAATTTAAATCTTCTAATTTGTCTAAAAATTGTTACTCGGGGATTTTCATGGTCGTTAATTATAACTAAGTTCAAAATAAAAAATTTTTAAATTTTCCCATTCTATAATAATCGACAGAAAGATTTCGGCGCGATTTTTAAAATCAATTAATCAAAAATTATTCAGAAAATTGTGATTGATTAATTTTAAAAATCGCTCCAAAATCTTTCTGTCGATCGTTTGTTCGTTCATTTGCAATTTCGGACAAATGAAAATTCTATCAATTAGAAATTCTGTTAAATGATTTTTCGTTTAAGGAGGTTCTCTCGCGAACAGAAATAACAAACAGTTAATTTTGAAACTCGATATACTGATAGATATTGGTTTAAAAAAGATGTAGTTAAATTTTTTGAGGTCTAGGTTGATTGTGACAAAAGATATAAATAATTTTTTCTTTTCACATCACGAAGTAAGAATTGGCGATTCAAACAGCTACACTAGCGCCACAGTTGAACTAATTTAGGCGTGACTCGCTCTAAAGCAGTCTCTGTTTTGACAGTTTATTTCAAATTATTTAATTATTCTGATATTTTTATTGCGTTTGTAAAATTATTTTTAAGCGTTAAATAAAAAAAAATAATTTAAAACACATGGAGTGCTACAGAGCGAGTCACACCTAAATTAGTTCAACTGTGGCGCTAGTGTAGCTGTTTGAATCGCCAATAAGGAGTCTTCACTTTGAAGGAAAAATGTAGGTTAGGTATAGAAAAAGCGCGAAATTTGAAAGTAGTATAAATACTATATATAATAGTATATTCATCAAAGATTCATAATAATAAATAATAATTAATAAATATTACTTTAATAATAAATTTATTATTGAAAATTTCGAAAAATGTTATTGATAAAATTAATTTAATAATGTTATAATTTTCTTACACATTTCAGGAAAATGTATAAAAAAAATTATAATTATTAGTAAAATATGTAATAAAAAATTAATTATGGTCAGTTGGGGTAAATGGGGACAAGAGGTTTTGGAGCTTAATTGACAGTTTTAAAATTAAGTTCAACGACAATATTTTAACCTCAGATCACCTGCAAGAGGTTTTGAGTATTGCCAAGCTTTAATCTTGACAATTGGCAGCAAGATAATTCAAGTTATCGCTCAATGCATAAAAACTTAAAAGTCAAAGTCAAACTCTTTGAGTATTTTGTCTCGCACTTCAAAGAAAACAAACTTAAAAATCATACCAATTTTTTTCTTATGACTCCTATAACAGAAATTCACTTGAATTTTTGATTTTTGTTAATTTGGTTAATAATGACAAGCTGTCCCCATTTACCCCAAAAATTTGAAAACTCAGGGTAAATGGAGACAGCTAGTCATTATTAACCAAATTGACAAAAATCAAAAATTCAAGTCAATTTCTGTTATGGGAGTCATAAGGAATAAGAAAAAAATTTGGTATGATTTTTAAGTCTGTTTTCTTTGAAATGCGAGACAAAATACTGAAACGAAAAAAAAACGCATAAAACTGACTGTCCCCATTTACCCCAAAATTTAGAAAATTTCATAAAATTTGGAGTAAATGGGGACAGTATAATTTCTGAGAAAGTTTTAAGAATATTACTGTATTAAGGGATGAAAAAACTTGAAAAAAATCTGTAGTAGATACATAATAGTTAAACCAATTGAAATTTTTTTATTTTTTTCATTTCAGTATTTTGTCTCGCATTTCAAAGAAAACAGACCTAAAAATCATACCAAATTTTTTTCTTATTCCTTATGACTCCCATAACAGAAATTCACTTGAATTTTTAATTTTTGTTAATTTGGTTAATAATGACTAGCTGTCCCCATGTACCCTGAGTTTTCAAATTTTTGGGGTAAATGGGGACAGCTAGTCATTATTAACCAAATTAACAAAAATTAAAAATTCAAGTGAATTTCTGTTATGGGAGTCATAAGGAATAAGAAGCTCCAAAACCTCTTGTCCCAATTTACCCCAACTGACCCTAATTAAATTAATTTTAGTTGATTAAAATTAAAAAGTAAATTAATTTAATTCATTTTATTTAATTAATATTGAAAAGTAAATTAAATTTTTTTTAATTCAATTTAAAGATTTTTTGAAATATACTATTTGTAATTTTATTAAATAAAATTGACAAAACCGTCTCAAAATCACAGTTATTTTTTATTATTATAATAATATCTGTTTATACTATTTTATAAAAATGCAATAAATATTTTTCTTCTTCTAAATAATACATATAAAAGACCATATGAGGCATTTTACGTGTAATGTACTGAGTTAAAAAATTGATTTCTCGAAAAAAAAGTGAAACTTGGGGAAATTGTTGTCCTACCTGATAGTAAAATATCCACGGTAGCTGTTAACACTGGCGGGCGCGGACATAAAATCTTTGATATTTAATATCTCGAAAACAAAAAAAAATCGGCATTCTGAAAATTTATATACAGATCGGAAAAAACCTCAGCTTTCGTTTGAAATTATTTATTTAAAAAAAATACGCACCGATTTTAGTGAAAATAGTAAATTTTTGTTTAATTATAGAAAATCAGGGTCAAAATTGAAAAATTTTAAATAACGAATTTCTCAATTGGAAAGAGCATGAAAAAACCTTCAAAAAACATACCTGCCAAAATTCTTTAATATAGAAAATTGGTTTGATGAAAATTCTGCAAAATACCAATTCGAACAAATAAAAATTCGACTCAAAAATAATCATATAAAATAAAATTTCATAAAATGGAAATTCTAACTAATGATTTTAATGACGTCTTGAGGAATTAAGTCATTACTTCGGCAATTTGGAAGAAAGTTCATTCCTTCTTGATAAAGCCACTGCAGTCGAACAAAATAAATTTTGTTTTTATAATTTATAAATTATATATAAATAAATTATATGTATGTAATTTAGTATTTATTTTTTTTACAGATTTATGTCTGGAAAATCAGGTCGAATTTATTTACATACAGATATTCGAATGATAATTTGTCGTAGAGCTGATGTTGACACTGCTTCAGACTTCAGTTCAGAGCCACCTCAAGAAGTAAGAAGTTACAATCATGGACCTACGCATCCAAAATTTTCACCAAGGTGCTGAGCCTCGTGGCTCCTCTCATGGAGTTGTTGTTAAATATCAATTATGATGGTTGCGTAGTTTACTTCACATCGAAGTTTAAATAATTATCCTTATAAAAAAAAATGCAATATAAGAAAATATTTACTTGGGAGAAGAAAACTTCAAAACTTGCAACTGAGTTAAGAGAAAGGGAAATAATTTGCAATTCGTTCATTAACAAATTAGCTTCTAATTCATTAAAACGCCCTTTAAAAAGTTGAATACAGTTTTCTTTAAAACGATTATTAATAATAATTTAATTTACATAGAGAATTTATTTGAATTTTTAAATATTCTAAAAAAAAAATATTGTGATTATTTTGTCCCAAGCAATAAAAATGAGTGTTCGAAAATGTTAAATTATTTAGTGGAAAGTAAATCTTATTTGTCACAAATTCATTTAAGAGAATTGTTGACATATCTGTATCAAGAAAGGAAAATGAGAGGAAAAAAATAGACAAAAAAAAAAAGAAAACGATAAAAACACTATTTTTCTATTATGACACGGTGGTATAGCGAATTTCACCAAAACTTCAAATAAATACAACAAGAAGTTTTCAATAACGAAATTACGAAGGACAAAAAGTGTCTTCAATTGTACACTTTATATCTGAATAAGTGAAAATTTCACTTATTCAAATTTAAAGAGTAGGCTCACAAAAAAATTGTTAGAAATTGGAGAAATCTTCTTCTAAGAACGCCATTCTCTCAATTGATTATATATATATGTAATAAAAGCCAAGTAAAAAATATTTATGTGGGATGAAACTGCCTGCACCAGCATTATAAACGAAACAAGTGATATTAAGGAGTCAAATTTTTGAGGGTCAATACCACTCCTAATAATATAAATATATAATAGAATAATAATATGTCATTCATTCTATTTTTGCCATTACATGCTTAATGTCAAGTTAATTATTTCAGAAAGGAATAATATATAAAAAAAAATATATATATATATATAATTGAGAAGATTAATTTATTGATTTTCTCTGATTAGTAAAAATCTAAATATCAATACATTTAAAGGCAGAATAAAGTGATTTTTCTCCCTATGAAAAGATAAAGAAAAAAAAAAATTATAAACTTGTATATGAAAAGAACACATTCTTGTGTCCGTAGCACTGTGATGAATATAATTGATAGGTACGTAGAGAGTAATTGTTATTAACTTGTACTACACATTAGTATCTTATAAAAATTGTAATTGAGCATAATAATAAAAAATGCCGGTTTTAATCACTATTTTTCATTTTTAAAGTGATTCGAAAGTTTTTTTTTAAATCAAAAGAATTATTTCTTTTCGAAGTCTTTTTTCTCAATTGTCAACGTGTTGTTTTTTTCGATGAAATATGTTAAAAAGAAAACTTGTGTAATATTAGATATTTTTAAAATTATATAGTTACTATTTATGTTCTGTTTTTGTCAAACAACGGAAAGATTATTAATTTTTTTGTTAACAAGTTACTTTTTAACATGTGTGTAAATTAATTTGGAAACTATTTTCATGGAGTTACGTTTTTGTCTAAAGAGTAATGTGATCAAATTTAATTTAAGTTATTTTTTTAATTGATTGCATTATTTTGTAATGAGAATCCTGATGGGATTCCACAAGTGAGCAAAGAGATGGAAGAAGAAGTAAAAAAGCAAACATTGTGATTTTCGATATAAAGTCCAATTGGACGTTATTTCGTCAAACTTCTTATCGTTAGATTTATTAATGGTAAGAAATTATAGTAGAATAATCACTGCCGTGCTGTATATAAATTATAGCATAGGTAAAAAATTTAAATTATTTATATTGATATTACGACAAATTTTTTCTTGAACGCTTCGGTTACACACTAATTTTAAAAAATTCTTCAACAATTCATTCGTTCACATTGTACATATATAAAAAAAACTGATTGTATTTTGTGATTCATGAAATATTCCCATTTTAATGGATTGCTTATTTTTGTTTTTTATTATCAATCATTAATAAAATAAGAAATTTTTTTTCGATAAATTTTGTGATAATTTAATAATTTTATTTTTATCGACTAAAGTTCTTCTTCGTATTTTATTTTTAATGGGAATATTTAATGATTACAAATAATTTAGCTGGAGAATTATAAATTGTGAAAGTCTTTATAAGACTGTCGAAAAAAAAGTTTTATTTTAAAAAGAAAAAAAAAAAATTTTTCTTATCTTCACGCATATTGTGTTACGTTGTAGTAAAATTTTACTTGAAGCAAATATATTTCCATAAATTACCAACGATTTTTAAATGTGCGACGAATTTCTGAAACGAATTTCTGATTGTGTTTTATTTGAAAAATTATTTATTTTATTATAAAAGTTATTTTAATGTGTTTTTATTGTTTCAAGAATTTTACCGCCATTTTCTATCAAAATATAATTTTTCCTATAAATTTATTAAATATTTAATGATTTTTTTCTAAATATAGGCCTAATACGGTTGTGAATTTTCATATTAATATTTTTTTTATTGGTGAATTTGGAAATAAATTGTTTCAAGAAAATGTATAATTTTTCCGTTGCCGTGGGTCTTCAGCATATAACATTTTGTCGGTAACATTCGTAGCGCTTGTGATTGTTACATTAACATTTTAATCAGGTTGCCACTGTGTATATCCTTCGAAGATTGTTTCACTTGATTTATAACTAAAATGAAGAAAAAAAAAGTTCTCGAGATAAACTCTCAGTGATTATTTGCCTTCGCTTATAAAAAAATAGAAAAGGGAAAGGAAATGAAAAATCCATTTAGAAATTTAAATATTGATCCTGAAAGGATCAGAGTCAAATATATTACTTATAGAGAAGCATTATTTTGTAAACAAAATTGTTAAGGCTACATCGTATTTTTTAAAGCCATCTGAACGAAAACATGTTCGAAACTATTAAATTATTTGTGAATCTAATAAACAATATGTGGTATGCCTAGCCAAAAATAATAAATGTATATTAAAAAAAAATTATACTTATCATCCTTATGAATTTTTTTTATTACTTTAAACCTTTCGCGATACACTTATTATTTCTTTAATCAGCGTCAGCTGTGGTTTGCATTACTTAAGGGGACTTTTTGGTTTAGAATTAACAAAAAAGACACATTTTAAAACTTTTATTGTAAAAAAAAATATTAAAGAAATTTCAAAAATTCTTTATGGATATTGTTGCACATTACTTAGAGAAAATTGTATTCTCTACCTAATATACATCAATGTCGAAAAAGAATTTTTGAAATTTGTTTAATCCTTTTTTTACAATAAAAGTATTAAAATGTGTCTTTTTTCGGCAATTCTAAACCAGAAAGTCCCCTTAAAGCAAATTAATTGATGATTGAAAAAATTTCTCCTTCTGAATTTACCTGAAACAAAATTTTGAGTAGGGGCTGTTCACAAAATACGTAACGCTTTTTTTTTTGGAAATTTCAACGTTATAACGTTAACGTGTGATGTCATCCATTTGAAATAGCATTGTGACGTCAGCACATTAACGTTATAACGTACCGCGTACCCTCCCGCCTGGAAGCGTTACGTATTTTGTTACTGTTACTGCAAGATTGCACAATAAGATTATTGCTCAGTAAGCTTGCATAGTAAGCTTGTAGCAAGGTTGGTGCAAAGTTGCTAAATAACCTTGCTTTGAACCTAAAAAGTTTTTTTTAATGTTTTTAGGTTTAAAGCAATTTATTTGGCAACCTTGCACCAACCTTGCTACAAGTTTACCGTGCAAGTTTACTGAGCAATCTTGTGATAATCTTATTGTGCAATCTTGCAGAAACCTTACACTGCAATCTTTCGGTAAACTTACCATGCAAGCTTGGGTCAGGTGGGACATTTGAAGCTTGTAGTAAGATAGCAACAAGTTTGCCGTGCAAGGGTGGCAATATTGTGCGACAAGCTTGCTGCAAGAATGCTGTAATCTTACGTGCTATCTAGGATAGGTTATCATATGACATTTTGTTATAAATTGACCAAAATTGATACTAAATAGTATTTGAGAAATTATTTTATCACTCACGCAGATACCTAAAATAATGCTAATAATATATTTTTTATAGTACGTGTCAAAAACGAAAAAACTGTGCAACGTTTTCGCTGAGTGCGAAAATAATTTAAAAATTTCGAAATTCAAAATGGCGGACTAACCCTCACAACAAAAGGATATTCAGGATATCCTTGGGACGTCCTGGGGATATCGATTTGTTTTCGGCGGTTTGGATATCCCTGGGATATCTTAGAGATGTCCATGGATATCCAGAGGATATCTTAGGGATATCCGAATCGCCAAAAGCAAATGGATATCCCCAGGACGTCCCAGGGATATCCTGAATATCCTTGTGTTGTGAGGGAAATTACTTAAATTTCTAAAAAGTGATTGATTTGTTCGAAACTTGGTATTTCAATGTTTTTGAGGTCACTAAATTCAAATATGACAGCTATATAATATAGCTGTCATATTTGAATCCAATATAGCCTATATTGGATCCACCATTTTGTATTTCTAGTTATTCGTCAAATTTGAATTCAGCGACCTCAAAAGCATTGGAATACCAAGTTTTGAATACATCAATCAATTTTTAGTTTAAGTAATTTATTCCGACAGCTTGAATTTCGAAATTTTAAAATTATTTTCGCATCTTAAATGCTTATGAAAATATGTTTTTTTTTTTATTCACATTGATTTACTTGTTTATACCCCACACAGCACATAATATTTTCTAAATCTTTTTGAAATATTTCACTAAAAGATTGGAAATATTTCAATGAAAAGTTCTTGAAAAATTGTTGCAAACAGGAAAATGTCCGCTTTTGAGGAAATATTGATGCTATAGCTGAGGAAATATTTTGGAAACTTTTAATTTAAATGGTACGCACTGGTCACTCAGTTTCTATGGCTTTTACAGTTGCGCAGTAGTTTTTAATGTTCTAGGATCCTAAGGTGTTAAATATACTAGAAAATACCGAATGATTTCATATTTTGAAAAAACTTTAACTTTCGATGAAATATTTCCTAAATATTACAGGAGTTTTTATGTGTAATATTTCAGAAAATTACATGTCAATATTTCCTCAAAGGCGGATATTTTCCTGTATGCAACAATATTTCAAGAACTTTTTGTTCAAATATTTAAAAAATATTTAGGATTATTATGTTCAAATAATGTTCTAGAAAATTTTTTTGGTGACATATGAAAGATTCTAAAAACGTTTTAAGAAGGTTTTTGAACGAACATGGTTTTTTGCCCACTGGGAGGTAATTGAATATTATTGCAAAAAAAAAAAAAAATTAATTTTGTAGAATCAGGTCGAAAACTAGTATTGATAGTTATCGCTCTTGTTCAACAACCACGCGCGATTCCTCAGCATAGTCTTTCTGTAGCTGAAGGTCCCCTTTGGTGATGTATCTACGCGCTATATCTACATTCACATATCAATGCCTGTCTGCACTATATCTATATACGACGTTCGCTCGCATCGAGTCATAGCATACTGGCTATACACATGTAATGAAATATATGAGTTAATGGTTCAATATAATATTTCAAATAATCATAATTTTTGTATATTAGTTTTGAATAGTTTCAGTATAAAGATTTATATTTATTATTATTTTTACTACTTATTAAATGTCTTTATAAAAGAAACATATTTTTAATGTTTTGTGATTGTTGTGATTTCGCATGTAAATATTATCCACAGGTTTTCTAGCAAAATATTTGATAGATTGAGGTAAAATTTTGTGAAGAACTAAAAAATATTGAGTTTGAGAGAAGAATCTTTTTGTCCTATATTCCATTTAATCGTCATTCACTGAAAAATGAATGATATAATTAGTTAAAGAATAGGAAATAAAACCCTAATAACACAAGATATCTTGGGATATATTGATAATATCCCGCAGATATCTTAGGGATGTCCTATGGATATCAAAAAGATCTCTTAAGGATATCCAAAAAATCGGCGGTTTGGATATCTGAGGATATCCACAGGATATCTTCTGGATATCTCTATAGACTTTCATAAATGTCCTCCAGATATCCCATAGATATCATGAGGATATCCCATAGATATCGTCAGGATATCCCACAGATATTTTCAGGATATTCTCAGTATATCTTCTGGATGTCAAGAAGATATTCTCAGGATACTGTTTTTAAAGTCATTATGAGACTACGAGTGAGAATATTCTGTGAATTAAATTTTATATAAATAAAATAAAATGCAACTTGTTTTTCGAGAAAGTTGTTTAATTTGAAAAATTATTAACTAATTCTTCCCCACAAATAACGAATAACTATTAATATTAATTATACATTAAGTGCATGAGTTTATTTAAAAACTTTGAAAAATGCGTTTCAAATCTTCATTTAAAATAAATTAGAAGCTCATAAGATTTTTGTTTTTATTATATTATTATTCATTATATTAGCTTAACAATTTTAACCTTAAAAAATATATGTTGAGATGTTAAATATCCCGTGAATATCCTAAGAATATCCCACGGACATCCTGAGGATATCCTGCGATATAATATCCAATAGATATTTTGTAGATGTCTTAGGGATATCCTGTGGATGTCCTGTTGATGTTTCACAGACCGGCGGTTTGGATATCCTAGGGATATCCCAAAATATTCTGGGGACCATTCTAGGATATCGACCACTGATATGGATATCCTAGAGATATCCTTTTGTTATGAGGGAAGAAATTTATTAACTTACCCACTTAGATCTATGTAGTACTTTTAGAAATCCAAGCGCAACCACTGGTTGACAGTATAGTTGAGGGGAATGACTACCGCTGCACTATGCCTTTGGTAGATTTATAGTCAAAAGGTACAGCTGCGGCACTGGTTCCTCCTCTCAATGAAATCTTCTCTTTTAATATTGCTGACAAAATATGCCAGAAGTTCTTCTCCAAAATTTGAAGGAATCTTTTACAGTTGCATACGAAAAATCGTACAGAACTTTTTAAGTAATAAGAATTTCGCACAGATTTGTACAGTAAAGAATTTTGCACTTGATTACAGTTATTTTTGCACAGTTCTTTTAAGTAGTAAGAATTTCGCACAGTTTTAAATGACAATTTCGCACAGATTTTTACAGAAAAAGAATTTTGCACCTGATTACAATTATTTTTGCACAGTTCTTTAAAATGACGTACAATTTCGCAGTTTCTTTAAGTAGTAAGAATTTCGCACAGATTTGAAGGAATTTTGCACTTGATTACAGTTTGTGCAAATTTTTGGTGAATATCAATTAATTTTACGTAAAACTGAATGAAACAAGAAGGTAAAGAAAAGAACTCGCGTAGTAACATGGCAAAGAGAAAAACTGCGCGTAACAAGGTGGTAAAGAGAAGAACTGACTTCCGTAGATTCTTCTTGCCTTTTATATACAAGTCTGTAGGCTAAAAAGGCAAAAGAACATCCCATCGGGAAGAATTTGTCCCATAGGAAAGATCTGTGTGAAAAACATTAATTCTACCCGATCGATGCCATTGAAAGACAGGGCAAAAAGTTGCCCGCTGTCTGAAAAAATGAGTGGGTGACACTTCATAATACTTCTCAACTCAGAGATACATATACAAATAAGTTTGTTAATAATTTTATAATATTAATTTTATAATTTTTATGCGAAGAATACATATATGTTAAATAATTAATTGTAATTGATCAAAATTCTATTAACCGACATATTGAATTTCCTCAAATATACAATTTGTAAAAATAAATTTTTTGACAAAATATTAAAGGGAGGGACCGCTGAAATTTCAACCTTTCGAAATTAAGGCTGTTTAAGGTTGTCAATTTTTTTCTGACAATATTGAGTATTTAAAACTGTAATATACTATGGGAAATTGAAATTCAATTAATTCATTAATAATCTTTTTACTAAAACTCTTAATCTTCCAAAAATAAAAATTTAAACTTCTGTCTCAATTTTTATTATTTTTCATTTTTCGTTTTTCATAGTGAAATATGA